TCATATGCTGGTTCTTTTCTCCCATGGACTTTTTGTTCTGCACAACTGAATTTAATGACTTTATTTGCATTACTGAGCCTATGAGTGCTCACTTGTGGTTTAATGTCAGTGTACAGAAAGCAACAAAAAGAACTTGTTATATTACATCAGGGTTAGTGAAGCAATGCAACAGTGAATAACAACATTGCAGGTGGATATGGGAAGTACTGTAATAGCTTTTTTCATCCACAGATCTCATACTCAAGGTGATAATCTGACAGTGGAATTGCAATGGAAAAGATTTTATCTAGGAATTTTAGAATTTCTCAGCCAATTTCATCCTAGATGAATACAAAAAGATGATAGAAATGCTGCTACAAGGACTTCTTAGTACTTCTTCAAAACATGGGGGGTGTATCTATTCTCCTGAAGCAGCATTTTGTCTGCAATTCTGTACTGAGAAAAATGTAACATTACTGATCTAGAGCTGTCAGCCTCACAGAAATACTCCATGTTGAGCAGGGTCTTTAAACAGCAGTTTTGAAAGGATTAATTCCCACTGAGTAGTTTTTGGAATGTATCCCTCCTCACAGGAGGTTGAAGATTTGAGTACAACAGTGAATTTCTTGTATAAGTACAGTATTTCTTTATCAGCCTTCTGTGGCCAGTTGTACGACAATGTAACATAGATGTCAAGTCACAAGCTGTGCTTGCAGAGGTCGCTAAATGTCTCAAACAAACTTCCTATAAATCTCTGTGAGCTTAGTTTTCAACTAGAGAGCACAGAGCACAAAGAGGGTGGGAGAGTTCCTCTTTTTCCAGCAGTTCAGCATGACTGTCCAACATTCCCCTGCAGCAGCAGCTAGTTTGGCTTTATGAAACTAAGGCTTACGCAAAATAGACAAAAGGATATGCATTTCTGCTTTTCCAGCAATCTGCTGCCCCAATTATGTGATTAGTTTGCTGTTGCATACAATTTGTCCAGGCTCGTAAGCATGTGATCATGAAGAGCATCCCTGGGGAGGTTTAAGTGATTAAAGCAGCTCTTGATTCTTTGGACAAGAGGCACAAGGTACAAAGCTGAATTTCTCACGCTGTAGCTGTGACTTGCTGGGTTTTTTTTGTTTTGTTTTGTTTTTGTTTTTTTTTCATCCTTATTGATAGAAAACCACAGATGCTTTTAAAGCTAATGAAAAATGAGTTTTGTAACTGTGTGCTAAAACAAAAGAACTGCATCTTTAAACTCGGAGGAGAATCACATCTGACATTCTTCAAAGGTAGATTTCAGACATGGTTTGTGACTTCCTTACTTGTAACCCTATAATCCTAGCTCCATAAATTACCCAGCCAACAAGGTATGCTGCAATACGTAGAACATTCATATTAAGTAATCACAAAAAGTGCTTTTTGACTTTGAATAAAATGTTAAGCATATAAGGGGCTGGGAATCTTTCTTCAGTTTCCTATAGTTGAATTCAATATCCAGACCTCTGTTGCTCCAGATTGTTCCAAATTCTTAAGATGGCTCTGCCTGCAGTGCCGGTTCTCACAGTTGTTCTTGAAATAGAGTAGTGATCATGAGTAAAGTGGATAATTTGGTAAATTGGTCTTTGGGCACAGAAGCTAATGAATGAAGGGTCTTTACAATGCTGATGAAAAGTCCTGGGAAGATTGATAGACCAGATGAAGTTGAGCTAAAGGGCATCATGCCCTTCTGCTGGCTAGGCTCATTGAAAAGGCTTTAAACTAGGTATGAAGGGAGAAGAGAATGAAATGAAGCTGAGGAACATGGTTTAGTGGGTAACAGCAGTGGTAGGTGGACTGTTGGACTCCTCACTGAATGTGGTATACGTGCACCAAAAGGTTGGACACCCATGGCTTAGGATGAATTAGAGAATTCCTTTGTTTCTCGGACCTTGCAAAGAATGCAAAGAATTGGAAGGTGGACCTTGGTCCTGTGAACTGAGGGGTACCATGCAAAAAAACAGATTAATTGCAGCCACCAGTATCTTATAGCATTTCTCTCCATTGTATCTCTCTCTCAACAGGGGATAGATATTTTGAGGCCTCTTAATATTCCAGCATCAAATACTGTATGAGCATTACAGAAGGAATGGATACAGTTCTGTTGTCTCTTGAGATATATAATCATACAAATCCCCTCTGCTGCTGTCACTGTGCAGGGAAATGAAGCAGTGCCTGCTCTGTATCCTGTGTAGGTGTGATATGATAAATGCATTGCAGAATGTATCTGTCATGAGCACTTTATTCATGTCTGCGGTATTTTAGTTTCTAGAGATTTGCTATTGATCTTAGCAACTGGTATTTATCTGTGAATCTTCCAATATCAGTCACTGCATTTTTACTTGACATGTTTGTGCTCAATGCCACCAGAAGAAATAAACTTTTCTGTGGGGCAGCCAGCAGTCCAGTTCATCATTTTTAAATGGACACCTAAGAAAGATTCTCTCCAAGCAAAGCAAATCAATACAGTCAGTTACACCAAATGCATTAAAACAAGGATACTTGAAGAGGAGAAAAACGATATTACAGCAAAGGAAATCATGATGGAAAAGTGTGCATGCAATAAGCATGATGAAAGCTGGGAAAATGGCAGCAAGTTTAATCTATGCCTTGAGAGTGAGGAAGGGATGAAGGATCAGGTAAGGGAGCTGCAAAATAAAGGGTAGGGCTGAGGAATGAACTGAAGAAAAGCTGAAGAGGTAGGCTTAGGAAACAAAGAAGATCAAGTAGGACAAGAGGTAATGGCTTTATGTAGTGCCAAGGAGAGGTTCAGGTTGGATATTAGGAAAAATTTCTTCTCAGGAGTAGTAATGCAAAGGGACAGCTGTCAGGGAGGTGGTGAAGTCACTGTCCCTATCGATTTGCAAGAAAAGGGTAGAAGTCACACTGAGTGATGTGGTTTAGTGGTATGGTGTTGATGGGTTGACAGCCATGCTAGATAATCTTAGTGGTCTTGTCCAACCTTAATGCTTCTGTGATTCTGTGAACTGGTGAGGAAACTGGTTACCCACCATGCAACAGATGCTAGGCCTGGAGACCTGCATTCTGGATTTTAAAAGCAGCTGAGGGATTTTACAGCCCATATCGCTTTTGTCACTATCATAGCTTTAGCAAGAAAAGCAGTATGTACAGTAGCTCAGCTCTTGGAAATGGTGCAGAAAAGAATCTCTCCTGTCTGTTTTTATGGAAGTATGTGCATACTTTTGAGAGTAGGGCTTTGCTTTCTTTGCAAACGTTGCACTTTAGACACAGTTACAAGTTGGTAGTAGAACTAACTGAAATAGTGATTGATGTCAGTGCTTTGTTTTTTTTACTTCAAAATATTTATGTCTGAGAGAAGCTAAGAATATGCTTGACTGTGGGGCTGTAAGCTCATCCGACATTTTAAATGAGACACTTGAGACAGATTCTGCCCAGCAGAGCAGTGGGTGAAAGAAGAAGATATCTCAGAAAATGACACTGAAGGAAAGAAACAGCAGACGGGCAATCAGGAGGAATGGGAAGCTTTGTCTTTAACTGGCAATAGCTGAACTGATCCATTAAGGTTATCATTAACCCTACTTTAATAATGTGCTGTCATCATAAGAAAGAAATGATATCTCATTCTAGCAGTAAAGCAGAGGCCCCACAATGGGTGTACTATGGAAGGAACCTTACAGATGAGTCACAAAGTGGCAGATGTTTCCTTGTTCCCCTTTCTTTATTCAAAAATCAAGGATAATGATTCATTAACATCATTACAAGAAAAAAAAATCGAGTGCTTTTTTTTTTTTTTTTTTACTTCATGTGAGCCTGAATCCAACTAGGGCAGCTGGGTGGTTAAAGTGTTTCACTGACCCCAGAGCTCTTTTCCCTGTCAATCTGTGCTGCAGGCTGTAGCATGATCCTTGTCTACAGCACACCATGCAGGTCAGACAGGCGCTGGCTGCCCCTGCTTGACCAACCTCATCTCCTGCTATGACCAGGTGACCCACCTGGTGGATGAGGAAACGCTGTTGATGTAGTTTACTTAGACCAGCAAAGCCTTTGATGCTGTCTCCCATAGTGTTCTCCTGCAGCCTATGGTTTGGACAGACGTACTCTTGAGCAGGTAAACTGGCTGGAGGGCTGGGCCAACGAAGCTGGGAGGGGTCCAGAACACAAGTCTTTCTGGGAGCAGCTGAGGGAACTGGGATTGCACAGTCTGGAGAAGAGGAGGCTCAGGAGATGGGCGGGCTGTTAGACTAGGTGATCTTAGAGGTCGTTTCAGACCTTAACGACTCTGTGATTTTATGATCTTAGTGACAGTACTTCTGCATATGCATTTGAGCATATGCAAGAATGCATATGCTGCTGCCAAGCCTTGATGTGGCACAGGATGCAGCAAAACTAGCAACCAAGCAGGTTGCTGCGCGCCTCGGCTGCACCCATCTCCTCCATTCAGCCGTACGCACCGGGATTTTTGCACCTCATGTCTTTCGTTTTGCGCCCGGGCGGCGGCCGCGCAGAGGGGCGGGTTCCCGCGGTTCCCGCCCAGGGCCGCCCGCCGAGGGGAGGGCGGTGGGGCGGCCTCGGTGCTCAGCGTCCGCGGGCTGCTGGGGGTTTGTGTGTTGCTTTCTTTTTTATTGCTTTCCATCAGCTGCGGATTGCTTTTGAAATAAATGCTCACGTGCGCGTATCTCTCCGGTTACAGTGCGAAGAAAGGTACTTCTCTTGCATACCCGTCCTTAACGTGAACAAAGCGGCGTGTCTTTAACCTGGGAGCTTGGAAAACGTTGTGGGCACAAAGAGGTTTGCTGTGGTCAGCTTCCCTTGGCAGGCAGCCTTCCTTCTGCTGGAAGAAAGCTGTAGAAAATGACACTCCCATCTGCTCCTGTGCGGTGCACAGCGCTTACCTGGGTGTGGGAAGTACGTCTTCATGCTGCTGCTTGCTTCGGGGCGACGCTTTAATAATGATTGCTAAAAGGCTGCTGCCTTTGAAACTTAATTAAAATCTTACGTGTCTTTTTCCTTCCAAGTGCGGGACATGAAATGCTTACATGACAACTGCTTACACCGCGGAGAAAACAAACTCCTTCCTCTCTGCTGTCTCTTCAGATCTCAGTGAATGCAGCTGGTGTCGCTGTGTTGCCTTGCCCGTGTGCAGCTTGGGTGAGCCCAGGTAAGGTTAAGCACAGCCTTGCACATCTGATCCAAATACATAAAACCATAAAACGTCTTGCACAGTTCAGATAATAAGATATCAGTTGCGTAACAGTTTCAAGAGGGCATGGAGTGTAAGATGTCCTTCTGACACAAAGGCCATTGCTTACATTGGGATTTACAGATTATTCCCCTCTGATGTTGTCCTGTTTGCCGGCAGGACAAAATTGAATGATGAATGTCCCATGAGCAGCTTACTCCCTTACTCAGTGCGGTCTCTGCCGAAAGAGGTTGTTAAATAAGAAATTGTGTCTGATGAAGGCAAATCCCAGTACCAGGAAAGCATGTGAGAACTTCAACAAACCCACATTTCAATGTCCCTTGTATAAAAAGTTATAGCAGAAAATCTTTCAGTTGGTGATTCATGATCCTTGAAATCCCTTCCAGCCTGGACCACTCTGTGATTCTGTGGTTCTGTGGATTCAGTGATCATGGAGTATTTTTCAGTGTCAGTGGTGTGATAATGATTATTGCTTGCTCTTACCAATGCTTAAATTTTTCAAATACTTTGCCCAGAGTTGTTTGTTTGTTTGTTTCCCTTGGTAATTACTTACCATTTCCAGATCTGAATGTCAGTGCTTTGATCTAGGACTGAATGTTAACAAACTAGGTTGCAAGTAGGTAAGTCTTCCTTCAGTCACTTCTCTATTATAGCTAACATAAGCTGAAAACTCATGGCACCTGGAATATGGAAGATGCATAAAGGAGCACTTTATCCTTCTTCCTCAGCCCTCTGGCTCTGGTTGGAGCTAAGGAAACAGGCACTGTGCTAAAGGTGCAGTGAGACTGACCCAGTGTGCTGTAGCCCTGGAGCACACAGCAGGCCTGGCCTCCTGTCCTTGCATAGGCTGGCATTCACAGCTGCTGGAACAACAAGGCTTTTCTTTCTCTGAAAACTGTAAGCTTGTCACCTCCCATTTCTTTCATTTTCAACTCCTGTAAAGCATAAAAATCTTTGGTATTAACTATGTTAATATGTGCATACACATGAATCTAAATCATGAACACGTTGGCAGTTAGAAGATGTCTACTTTAGTATTCTTAAAACTTCCTTTGTTTCTTGCTGAAGCAACCTGTATCTAGTACAGACCATGAGCTTGTATCACTGGTAGGAACACTGAGCTGTATTTAGCAGCTACCAGCACTATGCCTACATGGCTGTGGCTGTGTCTTGGTTACAGGTATGCATAGGATTGTTGAGTGTGCGCTAGTCTCAGCCTGCCTATTGGCCTTGTTTCCTGAGGCAATGGGAGATGGTCAGCATGCATCTACATGTAGGCACTGTGGGAAATGAGCATACTGGCAGTTTGGGTGAACTCACGCATCCTGAATATGACAATGTACGTACACCTCTTCTAGAGAATGGCAAGTTGGAGACAGCAAAACGCCAAACAGTTTTTAAGTAGCATACAGAATTTTCATGTAGCATAATCTAATTGAGGAAATGAGATTTTATGAGATTTTAAGTCTTAACTGATTCAGAGCTTCAGGTACTGTACACAATCACTGAATCCTTTCACACTGTTGAAGTGTTGCCTTTTGTGTTGTTTCAGGATGCTTACCAGAACGCCGAGCGTTGTTGCCCAAGTGTTCCTTCTTCTAAGTGTAATTCTTATCATTGCTATTGCAGTGATTCAGATTAATCAGCAGAAGATTCTTTCCCCAGGCCTTAAGGTAAGTAGGTAAGAAATAGGTAAGTAATAATAATAGGTAAGGAAGACCAGTATTTGGAATTGATATTTAATAATCATCATTTCTAAACACTGTTTTATGGAGTAATTCAAGTGTGTTTACACCCACAAATTAGTTGTTCCTTATGTCTTTGTAATGGGAAGACTAAGGCTGCGGCAAAATGAGAATTGGCCAAGGTTACAGTGGCAAAGGTGGAAAAGGATTCCTTAACTCAATGTCTGTGATGCCTATCACACAATGCCTTCTTCAAGACTGGCAGGCTAAACAAAGGCCAAACAATTTAAAAAAAAAAACACTGCTTTTTTTTTTTTTTTGTCTGAAGTTAGAAGTAATTGTAAATTCTTTTTGAGATTATTCAAAATTGTTTTGAAGTTATTTCAGATATTTCTTGGAGTTAAAATTCTATTCTCAATCACATTTAGGAAGTTCTTACTGAAATCATTGCAAACCATTGCTGTGGATCATAAAGCATTTGGGCTGCAAGTGTGTATGTTCTGATTTACTACATGTTGGGACTTGCTAGATACTAAGAGAAGTAAAGTTAGCTACGTAAGGAGCAGCAGAGCAAACTGAAAAACACAAACTGAAACAATCTGAGAAGTAGGTTCAAGTTTTGCCTTATGCTGCTGGATTATGCATGTCAATTCTTCAAAGAGAACAACTGAAGACAATGCTATAGAAACTAGCCTTCCAGGGATGCTATGCAGTCCAGTTTTTTGTTCTTATAGCTACAAGCATAGATAATTTGTCAGATACTTCTTTGAAGTCATTTCTACCTTTCCCTCTACATATTTATCTGAGTAGTTCACGTAGTAATAGTAATAGGCTAATAGCTTACTGCACTTCATGGGATTATGATAATCTTGGGTTTGTCTGAATCAGTTTTTGGCCTAGAATTTGTATTGTGATACCAGCTTTAAGTGTTGGTGTGGCAGGGTGTGTGTGCTGGAACTTGCATGGACACAGTGCCTCACGTTTACTTCCTGTTTGACTTAAATTTCTGCTTGGAGCAGTCTTACATCCTAACAGCTTTCGCTCAAGGCAAAACTGCACTGATATGTAGGCCAAGGACACTATCTAAAATACAACCTACGTATTGCTTTTGTTTGTCATTAGTTTCAACTCAGAATGACAAAGCTGTTTACTTTGCTCTTCAAGGAAATATCAGATCCACCTGGATTATCTGGAGGTGGTTTATTTGGGGAGGTCTGCTTCCTCAGTCACAGCAAATTTCATGGCTGATTCCAGAGGAATTTTGGCGATTCTTCTGCCTGATGCTTGGCTTTGGATTTCTTTTGGGGCTGTAAGCCTGATTGTCCAGAAAGCTGTAGTTTATATGGAGGGCTCTGTGTTTGATTCTGGAGTTACTGAATAGTTTTTCAGTGACTGAATAGTTTTCAGCTAAAACAGTGGTTGAATGGAACCTGACAGCACAGAGGATTGATGGTATCTGTGGAACTTTTCACCTTGTAGCTGATCAGGTTAAACGTCATCTGAGTAAATATGAGTGGAAGTTTCATTATCTAGCAACCTCTGAGAAACAGACTGGAGACTAGAGACTGATACCACTGGTAATTCTTGGGGGAACAGGAGCTTGTAGGATTACAGTGGGAAACTGAGAACTAATGAGGTACAGAGGTTGAATGGTGTGCCACCTGAAGCAGTGTTCTTGGAGATTTGGGGCATCCAAGGGAGGCTGTGTGATGAAATAAACTAGCCCGCTCCAACTGCTTTTACTGGTTTGCAGCCAGATGGAGGCTCTCATTTTTCACTACTGTCAGCTCCTTCTGTCTTTTTTAAAAGAAAAAAAGTTGACTGAGAAGTGAACCCTACACTATGCAATGCCTACCAGTTTGATGATTTTGAAGAGGGAGCAGCTAACCTTGTTTTTGGGGATAGCGAAGAGGAAAAGCAAAACAAGTCTCCTTTTACCGAATTAGAGCATGGCTGAGGTTACCGTCAGTAGGTTTGCAATGACACCAAGTTGGGAGGTGGTATCGATCTGCCTGAGGATAGGGAGGCCATTCAGGGGGATCTAGGTAAGCTGGATCGCTGGGCTGAGGTGGATGGGATGAGGTTGAACAAGGCCAAGTGCCAAGTCTTGCACTTCGGCCACAATAACCCCATGCAGCGTTACAGGCTTGGGGATGAGTGGCTGGATGACTGTGAAGAGGAAAGGGACCTGGGGGTGTTGGTTGATGCTCGGCTGAACATGAGCTGACAGTGTGCCCAGGTGGCCAAGAGGGCCAATGGCATCCTGGCCTGATTTAGAAATAGCGTGGCCAGCAGGAGCAGGGAGGTGATCATCCCCCTCTACTCAGCACTGGTGAGACCGCACCTTGAGTACTGTGTTCAGTTTTGGGCCCTCAGTGCAAGAAAGACATTGAGGCCCTGGAACGTGTCCAGAGATGGGCAATGAAACTGGTGAGGGGTCTGGAGCACAAGTCTTATGAGGAGCGGCTGAGGGAGCTGGGATTGTTCAGTCTAGAGGAAGCTCGGCGTGACCTCATTGCACTCTGCAGCTACATGAAAGGAGGTTGTGATGAGGAGGGGTTTGGCCTCTTCTTTCAGGCAACAAACAGGACCCGAGGAAATGGCCACAAGTTGTACCTGAGGAGATTAATTAAACATAAGGAAAATCTTTTTCTCTCAGAGTGGTTGTGCATGGAAATGGCTGCCCAGGGAGGAGTCGCCATCCCTGGCAGTGTTCAAGAGGCGTCTGCATGAGGAGCTACAAGAGATGGTTTAGTAGCTTGTGGTAGCAATGTAATGGAAGGATGGTTGGACTAGATGGTCTTGTAGGTCCTTTCCAACCTTGTGATTCTATGATTCTATTGGAAGGGGCCTCTGGAGTCCCCATGAACAGTACAACCACTGTTCATGCAGAGCCAGAGTGGAGCATATCCATGTGGCTTTTGAAGATCTCCAGGAAGGAGACTCCACAGTCTTTCTGGGCAACCTTTGCCAGTACCCCACCACCATCACAGCACAGAATTGCTTTCTGATGTTTAGAAAGAACAACTTGTGTCCCAGTTTGTGCCCATTATCTCTTGTCCTGGCGCTGGGTGTTGTCTTCTTTGCAGAACCCCTTCAGGAATTCATACAAATTCACACCTCTGAATGTCCTCTTCTACAGAGTGAACAGTCCCAGCACTGTCAGCCTGTCCTTACAGGAAAGATGCTCCAGACCTTTGATCATCTTGGTGACCCTCCCCTGAACTCCTTCCAGTATGTTCAGGTCTCTTGTACAGAAGAGGGCAGAACTGGATACAGTACCCCAGGTGCAGCCTCATTGCCTTTCCTTTGTCAGTTTGCCTTTTCAGTTGCCATAGTCTTCTGCTGCCACAAAAGGTAGGAAAGAGGTTAACACTGATCTGCTGGGCAGTGGAATGAGATGGAAAAACGTGCACTTTAATCCTACAGAGAACCCAGTGATTTTGTATAGGTCACATTAATATTTCTCATTTATTTCATAAATATGCAGTAGTATTGATTATCTTTTCCTCCCCGTTGTCTCGCACTCTGGCATAGACTATTTTCAGAGCCAGATTCTCAGATGGACTGCCTAACCACTCAAAGGAAAACTTTTATTGCACAACTAGAAAAGAACCAGACTTGTTTCATCATTCTATCTGTGGATTATACACTTCTACCTCCTTGTTTGTGTCTTTATAGATCCTTTGTGTATCCCTGAATCTAAAGCCTGTGCTCTGGTATCAAACCCATCAGTATCCAGTGAGTTTAGCTGGGTTAATGGGAAGGCAATTCACAGTGCTATGTATGTGTCAAGCATGGATTTTAAACCTGATGCCGAAAGGAGATGAGTGTTTTCCATTTTCACTGAATTCATTACTGAGGATATATAGTATGCTGTTTGTTTCACACCCAGATTTATTCTATGCTTTTCTGTTAGATCCCTGTCTAAGCACCTAACACTAGAATTAACGTATCTCCTGTAACTATACTGTGCATACACTTTCAAACACTTTACTTTGATGATTTGAAAACGTATGGCTGCATATGGGTGTTGAGGATGTCACTGTTTGTCTCTTGATGTGATCAGTTACTTCTTTCTCCACAGTATGGAATAGTCCTTGATGCTGGATCTTCGCGGACTACAGTCTATGTCTATGAATGGCCAGCAGAAAAAGAAAATGATACGGGAGTAGTGAGCCAAACCTTCAAGTGTGATGTGAAAGGTGAGCTCAGATAGTAGTTCCTTACTTTTTGTAGCCTCTGGGAAAAGGTTATCTGGAAGCTTATACTGGTTTTTTTTCCCTGTTGCTATGGTAGGGTGCACTATTTTCCAACAGAGAGAAAATTATAGCTAAACTTGCCTTACTCCACTGCAGTGTATGAGTGGTGCAGACAGAATTCGATTACAGAGAGTCTTTATGTGCTTAGTCCTTACACCCTGAAATAATTTATTTCAGAAGGAAAGCATAAGATATATTTAAAAACAGTTTGGAATTAGAAATCTCTGAGAAGAACTGGAAATTTAGCCCCTGTTAGATGTTTGGCATTGATGAAGGCAAAAATGGATGCCAGTTATGCCACTGGAGTTTGAAGAATTAGTTTTTAGTTTCCAAAATCATTAGCTGTGTTTTAAAAACACTTTTGTGGATTGAGTCAAATTTCCTAGACAAATGAGGCCTATGCAGTTCATCTGGAATTATTCTGTAATTACTTTGAAAGAGACAAGACGGGGAACTATGAAAGGCATGAAGAAAGTGAGCTGGAAGAGCTTGTCAATTCTAGATAGCAAGGGAGAGTCTAATAAAATTAAGTAAAACAGCTAAACTACAAGATTGTTTCAAATACGAATATGCAGGTCCTTGCCACAGGAAAACCAGGACTTTTGCACCGCTTGAAGATATCTCACAACAACCACCACTGGCTGCCTGCCTTGTCTTTTGTCTGAGGTTTTACACTGGCTCCTCTGAGAGAGAAGACACTAAACTGTACTGACTTTTGCTCAGACTGCAGTGTGGTTAATTAACTATGTGCTCTAGCAGTTTGCTGTAGATTACTTCCTAAGAAATGTCAGAGACATTTGGCTAAGCTTGCAAAGATACCAAAATTTCACATACCTGTCAGAGGTGTAACTTCAGAGGTTCGTAAGTGACTAGGAGACGAGTAGGAGGGAACAGTTTCTCAACAGCACCAATCTTTCTGTCATCATCATTAAACATATGTATAGATGATTTTAGAGCAACAAAGGAAAGAAGACAAATGTAATGTACCCAGAAGAAATGTACTGTCACGTGCCGTAAGGTGTTCTTCACAGGCTACAGGTGTGGCAGCCTGCTTGCTGGGGCTGGGGGTACATTCCGCTTGCTTATGTCTTAACTCATTCAGAATGTTGCCTATAGGAGTTCTGGAGTGGGAAAGTTGCAGTTCTATTCTCCTCTAAAACGGACAGGGAATTATTTTGGGAATTCAACTGGGTAAACAAAATGCTGGGAAACAAAGGAGTCCAAATTGCTGTGAGGCCCTATGGGGCCTTAACCAGAGTCACCCACAGTACTTCTCATCATCCAGTGTATAAAATCAGCACATTTCATTGCTTTAGTCTTGGGTGCCTCTGCGCTGGAGGAGACAGAGGGTTTATGTGTTCCTCAGGTAAGTTGGGGAAGTACAGTGCCAAAAGTGTCTGGTAATGTTTCTTTATCTGAGGGTAGCCCTAGGCACTTAAATTGCAGGGGTGGTTCTGGGCCCCACCAAGAGGTAGACTTGCACAAACTTACTAAACTTGTAAGTCAAACAATCAACTAATTTGTCATTTCTATGGTGTTCTTGTAATTTCATTTCATGTTTTATTAGGTAACTCTACCATGTTTGTTCGAACCAGCCCAAAATCAAAACCTTTCAGTGTAGTGCAGATAGTCTGTCCCGGTCAGGCTCTAATCATCAGCAAAGTAGGCTGTCCAGAATGGATAGTTACTGCCCTGTGACCTGCTCTGCCTGTTCTGAACACTGAGGAGTAGAGGCTGTTGTCAAAAGAGAGTGTATGGGGAGTGTGAGGCAGCAACAGCTGCTGAGGATGTGAAACAAAGTTGCTCCTCTGCTTTCCTGGATTTCTCTGTGTGCCACATCCTCAGCTAGGGAATTTTACTGAGGAACGTCTCAAGTTGAACCTGGCAAAGCTGAGGTCCTGCTGGTCCTTGTAGTGTTGAGTAATGGAGGAGAGACTTTCATTTAAATTATTCAAATAGTTATGCATTATGTACCACAGTGTGACTCCCATTTCTGATGCTGGAAGTTTGGAAAGCTGTAAAATTCTCAGTAGTTCATGCACCAACCTAAATTTGTACCTCAGTGACATCAAGAGCCATTTTTGTGTGTGTCTTGGAATTTCGGCAGCAATTCCTTGCAGCAGCTTTTTTAGTTTTAGTTGAAAGCAGTGAGCTATAGAGGTGCAATGGTGCCCGCAAAAGTTATGGAAAACAGTTTGGGAAATCTTAATCTTAACATGTGTAAAGAGGTATATGCTGCAGTTTAATAGATAAGAGAAATTTCACATCCACTAGACATCTTATTTTCTATAGCATTATGAGTAAACCTGTTTTCTTCATGTAGTATTGTCATGATGACATCAGATGGTTATGCTCTTATACGCATCTTAGAATCATAGAATCATAGAATCACTAAGGTTGGAAAAGACCTAAAAGATCACCCAGTCCAACCGTTCACCTATTCCCAATAGCTCCTACTAAACCATGTCCCTCAACACAACATCCAGCCTTTCCTTGAACACCCCCAGGGACGGTGACTCCACCACCTCCCTGGGCATCCATTGCAGTGCCTGACCACCCTTTCTGAAAAGTAATACTTCCTCTTACTACATGCATGGTACTACAGGTGCACATGCATACACATACAAGCAAGAAGTTTCCGATATCTTCTCTGTCACACACAGCTCAGACAGTCACTACATTGTTTATTCCTTAAATAGTCATAGTTTTCAACCATTCTGTTGTTTGCAACTACAAGAGGGAAGAGGGAACCTCTTTGTCATAACAACTGTTTGCTTAATAAGGTTAATTTGTACTTGGCAAAGCAGAATGCAGTCAATCTACTTGTTTTCTTTTAGGTCCTGGTATATCCAGTTATGAGCATAACACAGGAGCCCTTGCGAAACCGCTTGATGAGTGCCTGAATAAAGTCAAGGAGAGAATCCCAGTTCATCTACATAAGAGCACTTCAATTTATCTAGGGGCTACAGCTGGCATGAGGCTACTGAGGTACAGTGGAAGTTTGAACTCCTCTACATGTGTATTGCTATAGCAGTCTGGGAAGAAAGAATGTGAAAAATGTACTGGGCACATTTCTGTCCACTGGAAACTGATCTTTTCAAAAGGAAATGGAGCCCGGCCAATTAAATTATTTTATTTTTTTTAATAGGGAAAGCAGGGCTATATGAAAATCCTCTCTTGTACGATTTTGGAAATAAATCCTTTCTTTATTCTGTAGAAGGCAGAATTTTAATTTGCTCTTTCAAAGCTATCTTAAAATCCAGCACTATGTAAACAGATGATGTTTATGCATATCTGAGGGCAGCAAAAAAGCTAGACACTGCAGAGTTTTCTTGATATGGATGTGATGTAATGTGGCTTTTGGGGTCTGTCTGTGGCTTTAGCTGTGGCACAGACTTTTTTATGTGTTTGGTCTCTGACTAAGCAGAGTGAGAAGAAAGATTTCAGGCCCACAGATATCATATAAGCACTCAGTTCACTAAGAAAAGAGCATGTTTGAGACAAAATACTTATAAACTTGTATGATGAAGAGTGAAGTTTGCATATAGTGGGTGAGTTGCTTGCTGCAATGATGCTGGGTCCCTTGGCTGTTCCCTATAATAAGCATCCCCTTTAGGCTAAAACAATGTCAGTTTTTATTAGGTGATTCTAAGGCTTTTCTTGAGCTGCTAGGTAGTGAATACTAAACATGAAATTGCCTTTCCACATGCTCAGTGTCTCATGTTTTGTGAAATGCTTAGGTTGCAAAATGAAACAGCAGCCAACGAAGTCCTCGCAAGCGTTCAAAACTACTTCAGAGCACAACCTTTTCGATTTAGGGGTGCGCATATCATAACTGGGCCAGAGGAAGGGGTGTATGGATGGATAACAGCCAACTATTTAATGGGCAATTTCTTAGAGGTGTGTGGAAAAAAATGCATGCTTTTCACTGTTCTCTTTCTTATAAATGAGAGGTTTGAGAGGAAATGCCTGTTAAAACGTCATAGCTATAATTTTCATTTCACAGTGAAACATATAACAGGGCCTCGTGGTAGTAATTCAACAAAGGAAGCACAGATGAAAAGATGTGACAGGAATCTGACCTGGGAAAGGTAAAACTGTAGATCCACTAAACTGGGCTCTTCCATAAATGACATCAGTGCCTTACTGAGAAACAGAAATTGCATTGCTCCTGAGTGCATTGGTATTTTAAAATGTGACAAGTGTTGACCATCTTGACAGTGATGCCAATTAAGGATGTTTCCACCTTCTTTTCTGTGACTTCTGCAGGTAGTTGCTGCCTCTGCAGCCGTACTGGTGAAGAGTCTACGCCGCTTAGGAGTTTCCAAACTGTTTGGCAATGTTAGCTCAGTTGTCTTAACAAAAAAAGGCAGTTGTCTTAAGCGGTGAATTTTATGTGGCCCAATATGCCTCAGCTGGGCCAGGAATCACTGATACAGTTCATTACAGTACTGCTGAAAAGCTGCAGGCTGTGACATCAACTGTCATGTCTGTAGCTGGGAGGGAAGATCACTTAGTGGGTCCTCCTATTTTGTCCATAGTGATAGCAACATAAAGATGCTTACACCGTCCCTTGAAGTTGTAATAGTGTCAGGCAGGCGTTTCATAACAGGAAGTATTTTCCTGCAGCTGGTCATATGCTTTCATGGCAGTTGTGTGCTGCTCTTAGCATTTATTGCAGTTCTTCCAGATAGTCTTGCTAGGCTGAAAATAATTCCAACCACACCTCTGAGTATTGTTCACTGTCTTGGTAGAATGGTTCCTGTTCAGCTGTGGAAATTAGTAAGCAGGAGTTGGCAATCCAGGTGATACTTGGTGAATGTGTTGTTGGTCCCTGCTAAGTTAAGAAAACTAAATAGTAGTATCATATGTTCTGGCATGGTTTTTCTTATTTTATGCAACAAAAATGACTTCATGAACTTCAGGGTGATGTCAGTCTCCTGCCACGTGGATTTTAATGCTGAAGATCTCAATTTCCATATGACAGATTCATGAGGACTCCTGAAGAGAATGCTAGACGTTCTGAAGCCAGTTTAGTATAGAGTTGTGTGAAGACTAAAGTGTAGATTATCATGAGTAGGAGCAAGAAGCTTCTCACTATTCTTGTAAGAAGAATGGAGATAGGAGTGAAATTCTCCTTTGGACTCTTAAGAGGAATCTATTACTGTAGATTTTTTTCATAAGTATGATTGCTAGCCCATGTTTCTTTTTCCTTCTTTGTTTATGTTCACATCACCATCCATAGTAAATTATACTGCAGTAAATATGGAGGGAATTACTAACACAGAAAAGGTATTCTGCACAGTGACTGTGTAGGTCAAATGCAGCATTTGGAGGATGTTTTGAATAACAGGGAAAAATGCCAACTGAATGGATCAGATGTATTGTCACTGCAGTTTTGGTGATGGAAATGTACAGATTAAGGGTTCACGTTCCTTTGATTTCTATTTTACTCTACATTCATTCTCTTTTCTTTTCCTGTGTATAATAGTATTCTATTCCTTTAATAATTTATCTTGCCTTGAAACAAGCAAATTTGCATGCTAATTCCATTCAGATCTCCCAGGTACCCAGACTTCAATTTCCTGCATTCTAGTATAGATATTGATCAGACTAGTCCAGTGCTTTGATTATTGTGCTGTCCTCAGTCTTCAAAGCTATGCTGTATTACTTTTTCCATCCTTCAGACTCTTTGCTCTGTGGGAGTACTTCTCATTACCTAAAAACAACATCTGCATGTTTTCCTCAGAGCTAAAATTTTCTGGAAAAAGTGAAGGATAAAGAGGGAGGGGAAATCTAAAAAAAGTTCTGTTAAAAGTAGAAGAGCTTGAAGGGAGAACAATCAGATGATATTTCTAATTAGCTTTGTTTTTATTTTTATGTGCAGAGAAACCTTTGGAGGACATGGGTCCATCCATACAGAAAAGAGACCATGGGTGCACTGGATCTTGGAGGAGCTTCCACTCAAATTTCTTTTATCCCAGAGGACTCTCAGGAGAACTTCAATAACACCATGCAAGTGAAGTTGTATGGTTACGACTACAATGTCTACACTCACAGCTTCCAGTGTTATGGGAGAGAAGAAGCTGAGAAAAGGCTTTTAGCATTGTTGCTCCAGGTCTGTTTAAGACCGTTTGCTGCTCTTGCAGCTGTTCCGTAATCGTCTCAGCAGGTTCTTAGGGTTGTGATCTCTTCCCTTTGGTGGAGTTCGGAGACCCCAGTAAAAGCTTGTGTTGCTGTGGCCAAAAAGCACTTAGGTTTCAAAGGTTTTCATATTTGTTAAATATTGCTCTGAGTTTTGTAACATTAGACAAAAAAAAATGGGTTCTGTGTTTTGCTGATTTTGCTGGTTTTGAGGAAGAGAGTCCATATGAATGACAGTGTTCAGCCATGACAGAGAAGAGATCAAGAACACGTGAATGTGGGTTAAAAAGATTTCTGTAGTTATCGTCACATTAAGTCCTTCATGCTCGTGAGTAGTCTTTGTTTTTCTTCAGAAGTCAAGCACCAGTTCCAGTGTGGATAATCCATGTTACCCTCGGAATTATGAGGCTGCCTTAACAGTGAAGTACTTCTGTGGCAGTCTTTGTACACAGTCTCTGAGACCAGCAAATTATTACCCAAACCAATCTGTAATCTTCCATGGAACAGGAGACCCAGGTCTGTGTCAGGAGATGGTTTCATTACTGTTTAACTTCACTACTTGCAGAAACCAGGAGGACTGTCCATTCAGTGGAATCCATCAACCAAAAGTTAAAGGGAATTTTGTGGTGGGTTTTCAAATCAGCATTTCCTTTTGAACTTTTTTGCTTTTAATTTCAGTAGTTTTGAAAGTAACAGGCCTTTCATCTGCTCCTTTTCTATAGGCTTTCTCAGGATTCTACTATACAATTAATGCTTTGAATTTATCTGGGCACTTTTCTCTAGCTGACTTCAATTCAAGTATGTGGTTTTTCTGTTCACAAAGCTGGGCCCAGGTAAGTGCGCCTTTTTTTTTCTTTGTCTTTCTTTCTCTTTTTTTTTTTTTTTTGTATCTGTGAATGGGATATAAAAAGGAAATGGACTGTTCAAGTATCCAAAACTTTTGAGTCTCTGTCAGTATTAACATTTGTTTTCCCACCATGCTTCCAATCAGAGGGATTCCTTACAGAAGGCTGCAGGGCAACCTCATTGCAGCCTTTCAGTACCTAAAGGGAGCCAGTAAACAGGAGGGGAGTCAACTCTTTGGAAGGGTAGATAACAGCAGGACAAGGGGAAATGGTTTTAAGTTGAGGGAGGAAGATTTAGGTTGGATATCAGGGGGAATTTCTTTACAGAGACAGTGGTGAGGCGCTGGAACAGCTGCCCAGAGAGGTTGTGGATGCCCCATCCCTGGAAGTGTTCAAGGCCAGGTTGGATAGGGCCCTGGGCAGCCTGGTCTAGTATTAAATGGGGAGGTTGGTAGCCGTGCCTGTGGCGAGGAGGTTGGAAATTCATGATTCTTGAGGTCTGTGATACTTTCAGAGTAGCCCTCATACTTGGTGTAAATTTATTCATTCCAGGGAATTGGAGATTGCCATGATGGAAGCATTTAGAAGGCTGATAAAACAGGCCAATTTAAACTTTAAAACAAGACTTAGCTAGATATTTATTAACAACACACTTTGATCTCACACTGTCAGCAGTATCATGATATATTCAAAGCACTTAGTAGCAAACAGCTGTATTCTACATTTATCAGCAAGTGCACAGTGCAGCAGAGCTGATGCAGTATAGCCATAAATGGGAGCTAACACTGGCTGTGAAGAATTTGTACTGGTGGAAGGCAAATTGATTTTTCACTATTGTCCCCACAGCATTCATATGAGGAAAAGGTAAAAAAAATTGTTAAAATTTAATAGTAAATTGGCCCCAACGGGCATTCCATGACCTTTTCCACACTGTTTTCACCCAGCAGTTTTTCATTTTCCATCTTACTTCATCTGTCTGGGATGCCTTGTGTATTCTGTGATACACTGCTTTTCTTGTAACTGATGGGACTTGCAACTGGGAGTTCAAAGCACTTTGCTTGGGTCTGTGAATTTCAGCTGATGCTCATCTTCAAAACGAGCATCTTAGGTCAAAACTGACATCCAGAGAGCAGTCCTGTTACTGCAGGTTTAACTCAGTGTTTTTCTACTCCTGTAATACTCCTTATGCTCTGTTCTGATCTCAGCAGTTAGTGTGAAACTAGGATAAATGAATAGACCTGTATTAAATTTGAAGGGAAGTACCTCCCATTACCAGACTAGCTCCCTGTTTTGCATTCATTTTGCTGCATTTCCTACTGCAATTTACCATCATCACTGCTTCGTAGCTGACTGCCACACAGAAGGTGCACTCTGTGATCCTCTTAAAGAGATTTGTGGCTCTGGTTTACTGCCACAGTTTTAACCACACTATAAAGATGACATGGAAAATTTAGGAACGATAACATCCTTGATCACTTATGTACAGTTTTATGTTTATTTTGATTATTCTTTACCATGTAAGCTGTCTCACCATCAGGGTGTTTTCACTGTAAATCTCCTAGTTGTCCACAATTTTACTTGCTGTTTCTAATGCATTTTAATTAGAATCCAAAGTATTCTGGTTGGTTTGGGTTCTGTTTTGTTTTGTTTTTTTAAAACAAATTGTTTTTTATGATTTACTTTTTTTTTTTTTTTTATGTGCTTTCAGCTCCAGTTTATGCTACCTAAATCTGAAGAAATATACACTAGATCCTACTGTTTTTCAGCCAATTTTATTTATTACTTGCTTGTACATGGCTACAACTTTGATGCAGGGAATTGGCCACAGATACACTTTCAAAAGGAGGTGAGTAATAATTGTTTCTTCACAAATTTTAACCCAAGGATGTCTAGAAGAAAACAGAAGATGCAGCAGCCTACAAAAATATTATGGTTGTAAACAGTCTTTATAGATGATTGTCAAATGTTATGCATAAAACAAAGCCACTTTTCAAGCCTCATTACCAATTTCAGCCTGGTTCCAGAGGCTGCATCATTACTTGGTGATGCTGGCTACATTCTTTTAGAAAGCATTAACAGTGTGTCGAATATTAAATAATACTATATTTTTAACCTTGCCCCAGTTAAAGTATTGGCTCATTTAAGGCCTGAAACTCTTCTCCAGTCAAAGTCAGTGAGCTAATCCTGATGGGCTGAACAGGAGAAGTCCAGCCTTTCTGTCTGCTGCCAGAGCCTTGGGCAAATGGGCAGAGATGGTTTGTAGTCAGGGGATGAAGCAACTAGGGCAGCCATCATCCTCAGATGGCACATCCACCTGTGCTGTAATCTGGTTTTCTGGAATAAGAATTTATACTGGTAGACTGTTGGCTTGGATATGGCAGACAGAAGGCTTGCAACCATGTTTGTGTAATACCTACACTACTCTTCCCTGACCTCTGATTTTCCTCTTAAAAGCTAGAATACTTGGGATGAAGTGGTATACATTCATTCTAAAGCTGCTGCTAAGAAATCCTTGCTTCCAGTTCAGAAGGCATTGCCCACTATGTAAGCCTGGCTGTTACATCAGGAAATATAGTCCCTGCAGTGCTTTGTGACTGCATCCTTTCCTCTCTGTTAACTGTAAAACCTTGTCCTAGGTTGTCTCTTGATCTCCTTTGCGTGTGGAAATTTTTTGGCACTTGTGTGCAAAAACAACAAATAAATGGTTGTAGATCTTCATGCAGGGAGTTCTTAAATGCAAGGTATGCTGACAAGCTTTCACTGAGAAATCATAAGTAATCTTAAGTAATGTTTTCTGAACAGTCATACTCTACTATTAATGTACTAAAGAATCAAATCAGATTTAGCCCTTCTACCAGGAAATCAGCAAAGCTTACTCTGGGATCTTAATCTGGACCCTTAAAGAGTGGATCGTTTTTTTTCTTTTTTTTTAAACGTATGTTTTGTTGCCCCCTGCAGGTGGGAGCAACCAAACCCAGAAATATTTTTCTGTATTTAGCAAGACCATAAAAATACTGAGCAAAATGGAAACCCCAAAGGCTTATTTGCTACTTACAATTTGCACCAGGGTAACTGTGAAAGTCCAAAAGAAAGACTACATCCTCTTAATCAGATCTGCCCCTCAAAGAGCTAAAACTAGTCACATCTACTGTGGCTAGCTATCCCAGAAATAACAGCACAGTTGTCTCTAAGGGTATATACTGAGAAGTGTGGAGATTTTTTTCTGGCCCATGCTATAAAAGGATATTTGCTTTTAGTTGGTGAAAGCTTAAGAACCTTAACACAATGCTAAGATCTGTGCCTTTGTAGAACTGGATGATTTGCAAAGGTTCTGAACCCCATAATGAGAAGTTTACCCTCTTTTATGAATGAAGAATCAACTTAGTCCATTTATTGCTTTGCTCAATCTGTTGCATTTCAGTTCTTGTTGCTGAAGCTTTTTCTATATTATTTAAACAAAAGGTATTAGAATATACACAACCATACAAATTACCAAATATTATAGGTCCTTGTAGTCTCCTACAACCAGTAGGACTGCTTAAAGTTGTTAATTAACATTAAATTTACCCTAGCTTCCTCTTTGCTCATGTCAGTTGGACTGTGAGTTTTTTATCTACTTGAATTAAATGATGTCCTAGGATTTGGCTACAACAGGAGAGTGATTCTAGGAATGTGCACTAGTGCTGATTCTTTAAAAATATGTTCTATGTACGTAAAAGCCCATAACAACTGGCTGTCTGCTTGTGTATCACCCATCCTTGTGATCAGTTTTATTAGCATCCTCTTGAACTAGAAAAAAAATAAAAAAAAGCAATTTTCCTTGATAACATAGGAGACAGTTGCCAGCATCAGCAGTTCAGCTCTTTTCTTTGACTGAAAAGAACATGGGAATAGGACTCTTTTGTCTGTATTTCAGGTTGGTAACAGCAGCATAGCATGGTCACTTGGTTACATGTTGAGCCTCACCAACATGATTCCAGCAGAAGGCAAGCTGATCCAGTTACCTCTGAAACCTTCTTTGTTTGCTGGGCTCCTCATCTTCCTCACTGTTCTGGCACTGTTGTGTCTTTTCTTCCTTGTTTACCTGTGTATTGTGTCACGTAATCAGAAGGTCAACAGTCATGTGGAATACGTATTTACTCCAGAATGAAAAAACTTACCTGAAGACTGACCAAAAAATTCATAATCCTATAAAGTTACGTAGAGCTTTATATTTGAAAAACATAGTTAAAGACAGGTGAAAAGTCCTGAAAAGACCAGAAGCATAAATAAAGGAGACAAGAGGCACTGAGGAGTCTGTGATATGGTGAACTGCAGTGCTTCTGAAATATTTTGGTAGTTGTTTCTGTAAAATGAGCGTATCCAGTGTTAAGCAGATGAAGCACAGGCAGGCGTGCTGCTTTGCTTGTTCATGTTTTTATAGTGTCTTTGTGTCAGATATGTATGAATTTTTGTCCATTAATTCTGTGCCACCTGATAAGTGATGTATTTGATCAATGGCAGCGGTTGTTCATGATAAAATCTAAGAATGAGTCAGTGGAAATTGTGAGAGAAGGGAACATAATGGCTGTTCTTGTGAGTGCTGCTGACACAAATCCCCCAAACAATCCAGCTTCTGAAAGTGGAACAAGCACTGGGTAATCACATGAGCTGACAGGAACAGCACAGCTGGGAGCAAATTGTTTTTATTGCTATTCCAAACAATTGATCCCCATCATGTTAGGGTGTAACACATTGCCAACATCTTTCAGGACTGTGAAGCCCAACTTAAAGCTGAGCTATACTTTTAGCACTACAAAGATCTCAGAAAGCCTGTTATGGCACATTTAGATTTGCTTTGAAGGCAAAAGTAAAATCTTTTCAGTAAGGGAACCTAATTTTCAACGTATCATAATTACCTCCAGAAGCCTATAGAGTTTTCAGGGTCCTTTTTTTTTTCTGTAATAACTATGGCAAACATTTTTGGTATTTTCTACTTCTGACTCGTATTCCTCCTAATCTCAGATACAGTAAGTACCAGTTTGTCAGGTACATATTATGTCAACTGTCTTGGATCTTCTGAAGCATTAATGTGAGTAGGCAAAAACTTCAGCCCTGCCTTCAAGGCTAAGAGGATTAGGAGGCAAGCTGCAGGTCAGAAGAACCGCCTTTATGTAGTGGGTTTGAGACCAAATAGCTGCAGTCACAACTGCTGCCTTCAGCTGCCTTTATCAGCCTTTCTACTGTCCTGGCCTCAGCATTCTTTCAGCAGCACTGGGATATATGTAGCAGATGCTTTTGTCAGTGACATTAACTCCAAACCTTTACTGGGAACACAACTACCTTCATGCTCTTAAGAGTTGCCTTCCTTGAAAGCTCAGGCATTCTGCACCAAACCTCTAATTCTTACCTACTTAAATTTTGGAGTACAAACTTACCTGATGCTCAAGGTGTCCTTCATGGAAATTCCTCCTTCCCCTGTCTGTCTTTTGTGCAGCTTTGTCCTTCCTTAGCTGGCTTTTGAACTAGCCCTTGGAAAAGACTTCTGCCAAGTCATCTGCCTACTCCTCCCTTTGTACAGTGTCACTATTCCTCTTCGTAATGCCTTAACGTGATCTGTGAATGTATGAGGGGGACATACCCTTAGGGCTTTGGAGTTGGCAGGAGGAGGGAATTGCTGTGCTGTTCAGGACCTGCAGGAAGAGAAAAAGCGTCTCTGTTTCTCTTCCAACCTTCTGCCATCTCTTTTTGCCCAGATTCACTACCTGCACGGAGCTCTGTTCACCCACCATATTCCCCCAGATGTCCTACAAATAGCTGCTGCCAACATACTAATATATTCCTCCCTTTTCAGCCTCTCAGGATTGCTTCCTTCTGCAGGAAGTTTCCCTTGCTTGTGTCATAGCTTCTCTGAAGGGATGGTTATTCAGTTCTTGCATTGAAGTTTTTAAGTTTAAGAACTCAGTCTTATGTCTCCTGTCCGCTGGGAAAGCTGAAACTACTGAACTTCAGTCAGCACCACTGCAGCTTACAGCTTCCTCCCAGTCAGCAGCATCATCCCCATGCAGCGTTAGAGGTAAAAAGTACTGCTTGGACACAGGCAGCTTGGCTGTCCCTGGCTGTCGTTACTTCTGGGGGAGAGGTGGAGCGATGGAGATGTAACTCTGACTAAATCCTCCCCCAGGTATGAGTCAGAACCTGGTCAGCAGGTGTAACTTCCCCACATCTACCACTGAACAGATCTGGTGGGGAGCCAGTGAGGTGAACAGGATTTGGGAACATGTACAAACTACAGCTTATTTATCTTTTTGTACTCTTTACTGCTTGCTTACAAAGATTAATACAAATAAATTGTGAAAAGCTAAGCCAACTGTACTTTTTTTTTCCCATCTTTTGCAAATATCAGTATTTTCACCTTGGCAGACAGGTTATTCCTATTAGAAGCAGAGGAATACTGAAATGCTTTTCTGCATGACATAAATTTGCAAGTTGTAGAACTCATCTGTGAGTTTCTGGAGTGGACAGTGCTCACTGTCTCCAGAATCTGTGTTCTCAATGAGGAAACAACCGCGGCTTAAACCAAGCCACTCCCAATTATTATTATTTTTTAATACACATGCATGTAATCTGCATATATATACAATACATATGAACAACTTCTACTTTTGAACACTTGATATTTCTTTCAGGGACACTGACACTTTTAGGGTTTGCTTCAGGTTCACTGCTGTAATACAGATCTGAAAGGCTGTGTGCCAAAGAGAGGAACTTCCCAGATATTGAGGTAGGTCATGATACAGATTGTTTAGAAAGAGATCTGTCAGGCATCAGGAGCGGGAGCGTGAAATACAGAGCAAAATCTCAGCTATGGAGAAGCAGAAGAAACAAATAAGAGATGATGTGCCTGCAGGCATCACTGAAGGGTGGGCAGAAGTGACAAACTTCTCATAAAGCAGCATGCAAAAGAAAGCAGTAACTTTTACAACACTGATAAGTTCGGAGGACAGAAAAAGAAGTAAATAAAAGCACAGGGTGATAATCATGCCCCAAGTCGGGGAGTTTTTATTCATTTTTAAAATTCTGTTATTTTAGTACCAATCTGTGTTCACTTGGATGGCAGTGAAGCCAATGTCTTACAAACAGCGCTCACCTTCAGTTACCAGTGTTTCCTTCTGTGTGCTACCTACAATACGCAATGCTGTTTAGTACATGGGCTGTATCTAGAGTTGCTTGCTTGGCAACATTTCTGTAGGCCTATTTAGTCTATTTGACCCAGAAAGCCTATTAACAGATTTTCAAACATGCATTGGAAGTTTTGTTCTAGATGTTCAACCAAGATGCATCTAAGTTTGTGAAAGCTTCAGCAATGATTCCTGTTACAACAGGAGAAATATTTTTCCAGATCACTGCAGAATGGAAGAATCCAAAAGACAGCATCTTTGACTGACTTGACCTCAAGCATGTTGGTTAAAAACATTAATACACGCATTAATATATCGCTACTGTAAAACATATGAGATATATATATGTTATAGTGGTATTCTGGATAGGACTTCTCAAAAATACCTGATGGTGTTAAGTGCTCATAAAGGTTTTTATGATCGGTTCCCCAGGCATTTGCATAATAAATACATCAATTAAGAGAACTTGGAGGGGAAGGCACTGAGGTGACCTAATAGCAGGCTTTCAGCATCTAAAGGGGGGCTACCAGAAAGACGGGGACAGACTCTTTAGCAGGGTCTGTTGCGACAGAATGAGGGGAAGTGGTTTCAAGCTTGAAGAGGGGAGATTTAGGTCAGATATGAGGTCAAAGTCTCTTACAGTGAGGATGGTGAGGCAGGTGAGACACTGGCACAGGTTGCCCAGAGAGGTGGTGGATGCCCCATCCCTGGAGACATTCAAGGTCAGGCTGGATGTGGTTCTGAGCAGCAGATGTAGCTGCAGGTGTCCCTGCTCATCGCAGGGCAGTTGGACTAGACAAGCTTTAAAGGTCCCTTCCAACTCTGAGGATTCTACGACATTGTTTACTTGCTCTGATTTCTTCTAGAAACAAGAACAATACAGACCCTACTTTAGACAGCTAAACTGGGATCTTTACTCTCACTGCTGACAGAATAAAGGTCACACCTATTTTCCATCAGTGCTCTGCATTTTGCTTACACTCTTCTTTCCCGGAGCACGTTTTTGGCTAATGCCTACAGAATAAAATCCTGCAGAATGTAAACTACGTGTCCGTCTCTATCATCATCTGCGTCCACCTCCGGAGCCGTTCTGCCACGCCCTGATGGCGCGCAGCACCCCGAGCCACCTCCGTCCGGCACAGCGCCGCGCACGCGTATTGGCACGCCGCCATTCCCGACCGGCCTCGAGCCGGGGAAGGCGTTCTGCGCAGGCGCTCTGCGTCGGGAGAGCAAAATGTGGCCTCCGCGCATGCGCAGTAGCGACTCGAGGGCGGCTTCCGGCCTGCGCGAGTGCCCCCCTTCCTTTTCTGCTCGTGGGCGGCCATCATGGTGCGGGCGTGTGGCTGCGGGACCGATGGCGGGGCCTGGTGCCGGTGGGGCCTCCCCTCGCCTTTCCCGCTCGCTTGCGGAGATCGGTGGAGGCCTCCCTGCTCCTGGCCCCGCGGCGGGGCCGGGCGGGGGCCGGGGATTGGGTCGGGCTGGGAGCAGGGCGCGGAGCAGGCCGCCCGACACGAATCGGAGCGGGGCGCGCGTGGCCGATGGGTTGCGATTGGCGAGGGGAGGTTTCTGGGGGGCGTTCGGGGGTGCCGCGGCCTCGCCAAGCGGCTTTCCTCTAGCACTTCTCCTGGTGGGGCCGGAGCCTGTGGGCAAGGGAGGGTACGGGGAGCTGCTGGCGGAGGCGCAGAGTGCTGACTCGTGCCGATCCTTCTGCCTGTAGGTGTTCAAACGCTTCGTCGAGATCGGCAGAATCGCCTTCGTTTCCTTCGGGCGGCATGCTGGCAAGCTGGTGGCCATCGTGGATGTTATCGACCAGAACAGGGTCAGCCCAGAGCACCGTGCCTTTGTCATTCGTTCTCTGAACAGCTTCTGCACTCAGGCCTTGTATATAGAGCTTAAAGGGAGTTTCTGGCGGTGATTGTTCAAGGGAATAAGCGTTTGATACAAATGGGATTAAACAGCTGTTACGTATTTTAAAATTCTGGTAGCAGGCTGTACATTGCCCTCTCCCATCTCCCTGAGAAAAATAAGTGGCTGAGTAAATGCCACTTGGAGGCCGAAACCTTTGAATGGAATGGCACTGATGCCTGACAGACAGGTTCTTTTCACTATATGAAAAGATCCCTCTGATCCCTCTCTCCTGAGGAGCTGAAAAAAGATCTTATTGTGTGTGTTTCTTAAGTTTTTTTTCTTCTGGAGATGAAAATGAGCCTGTAAGGCTTAGATTATGTGCACGAGATGTCATTTCTGGTTTTGTCTGAATAACGTGTGTCTTGATTTGAGGTACTGGTATCAAGGTGAAGTTCTTAAATTATTAGAAAACTAAGTGGAGTATGATGGGAAAAAAAAAACCCTTTAAAAAGTAACTCGTTTTTTCAGGCTCTAGTGGATGGCCCCTGCAGTGGGGTCAGGAGACAAGCCATGCCCTTCAAATGCATGCAGCTGACTGACTTTGTTCTCAAGTTCCCACATAGGTGAGTTGTTTTTCCGCCTGTATAAAACATATTGTCGCTGCCTGATCTGATGAAAGATGTTCATACACAATGCAGTGATGTGTATGCAGCTAAAATTGTGCAGACCATGTTACAACAGTTGATTGTGGGTAGGTTTCCATTATCACCACTGGTGGATAACTGCTGCCCAGGAATATATGGGATACAACCTGACCTGGGCAGCTTGCAGTTAGGAGTGGGATGTGAGGAGTAAGTGGAAGCAGTTGTAGGAGTACTGTGCTGCTGTGTGTTTGCTGTTGCTCGTGTCACTTTCAGACATTAAAAACATTCACTCTTTGCAGAACTGCATGGAGTTTTAGGAGGCTGCCAATTTAGTTGCTATCTGAGCTGCTTTTCTGATTGAGAACCATTGCTAGGAGTGTGGGTGTGTGGCTGGAAATCCATAGGTTGAGCAAAGGATACGTAACAAAATTTGAATGCCACATGCATCCCTGTGGTATAACTGGCTTAAACTGAAGGATTGGTTTCTGCATTTGAAGGAATGCAGAAGGATGATCTTCCCTTCTGTGAAATTGGTTGAGATGGCATCAGAGAGAACGGTTTGTACAGATAATCAATATAACTACTTGGCTCTTTTCATACAGCGCTCGTCAGAAGTGTGTGCGTCGTGCCTGGGAGAAGGAGAATATAAATGAGAAGTGGGCAGCAACACGATGGGCAAAGAAGATTGAAGCCAGAGAAAAGGTATGTGTTTTAACTGGATCTGTAATGCACTTCTTACTGCTTCTGCTCGTGAAAATTAGTTTTAGTAGGATAAACTATGTATTTACTCTTGCTAGGATTAAATGTGGTCATAGTGCACTGCATCCCAGTGAAGGCCTTCTGTACTGAACTATTTCCAGTTGAGTAGCTAGACCCAATTTGGAGGGGATCAGAGTTAACTGTGGAACATTTTGAAGTGCTGAGTTCTGTAACTTGCATGGATATGTAGCACAGCCTCATGATTGATTCTTTTCAAACAGAAAGCCAAAATGACTGACTTCGATCGTTACAAGGTTATGAAGGCAAAGAAGATGGTAAGTGTTTGTAGTTTCTTTACAGGGTTAATGCTTTTAAACTTTACTTTTAGAGTTATGTGGAGATCCTTGGTAGTCTTGCCTTTATAGTTGGCTTGGCTTATAGAGTGACAGAAAATATTGGGATGCCTTGAATTTTTTATATTTCTTTGGTCTGTCATTGGTCAGACTTGAATTCACATGGCCCATGTGTCAGTCTTGTGAGTCATAGCTGAGGAGTTACCTGCTGCTGAAA